TTTTTTTTTTTTTTGTTAATCTTAAAACAAACATATATTTCTGTCCTGACTTTCATAAACACTTTTTTTTTTTTCTTTACATTTTATAGATTGGCACTGTGTGATTTGGCAGGCTCTGAACGATGCACAAAAACTCAAAACGAAGGTGAAAGGCTTAAAGAGAGTGGAAACATAAACACTTCTTTACTAATTCTTGGCAAATGTATTAATGCACTGAAGAACAGCCAGCACTCAAAGTAGGTTCACAGTCCCTCGTCCCTCCTTGGCATCTGTTCACGCTTTGTTTTTTTTTTCCTAAATGTTATTGCTTGCAGTTTGTTTAAAAGTGCTTTTTAATGTGTTTTATAAGTCAACATACTTTGTTTTTTTTTCTATTTCTGTATCGAGGACAGCACCTGAGAGCATGACTCCACCCTCAGGAGGCAGGAAACCTAATCACTGTAGACTTTAAAAGTTGGTCTCTCCAAGCAGTCACAGTATTTGTGTTTCCTTCTCTGGATGGAAACATCTGTTCAAGCAACTCGGGGAGTGGGAGGCAGGCTCTTGCAGGTTCTGTCCGCCTACATCTGAAAGCGGGGTACCCCAAGAGAGAAATTTGTAAATTTTCCAAGGCAGCTGTTTTTTTGGTTTTTATACGTGTGTGTTGTAAACAAAACAATCAAAATGCACTATCAATAGCCTACAATAAATCAATTGAAATGCAATTATGTTACAGACAGCAAAAAGTGGAACATGAACCAGGAAGTAGGATCGTACAGTACATTTGCACTTAACTATCTGGATTTTTGTGGTTCATACAGTAAAAAAGAAGCTTGATCAACTAGGTATTAAGCTATCATTAAAGGAGAACTATGGGGTTAAGGCTTTTCCCCAAAGTTCTCCTTAGGGTAATGGGAGGACACAAACTAGCGTCCTCCCGTCACCCTAGGCTCAGTATACCGCGAGCTGTAGCTCGCAGTATACTGAGACGCCGCAGTATACCGCAAGCTGCTGTTCGCGGTATACTCAGACGCTGAAGCGGATCCTGACAATTGTGCCGGGATCCGCCCAGCTGCGTCACTGACAGCTGGCTCTGCCTTTCTAGAGGCAGAGCCAGCTGTTCACTCCCCCGTCCGTTCCTCCAGTCAGCGCTGACGGGGAGGGGGGAATCCTGTCACGGCAGAGAGCCGTTACAGGATCAAGAGGTGAGCGAACGCCGGTATGTGTTCGCTCACCTCCCGATCTACTGAGCCGACCTGTGACAGTCTCATTGTCACAGGTCGGCTAGAACTATGAGGTGAGTGAAAAGCGCTCACCTCATAGTTCTACTTTTAACCGCATATACAGAGTTTATTAGTCTTTTTCAGGTTTCTTTATTTTTACTTGGAATTTCTAACACGGCCACCACGTGTAGGAACTGAATAGCTGCACAATACTGATTTATTTTTTTTTTTCTTTGGTTTAGATGTACTTTAATGCTGGATTTTATTATTCTGTCATATCTACTGTAAATATGGCTAAACAGCTGGCCCACGTTGAGCTTTGTGTTGACAAATATTGTTTGTCTAGGATCCAGCATGTGCCTTTCCGGGAAAGCAAGCTTACGCACTACCTTCAGAGCTTTTTCAGTGGCAAAGGAAAAGTGTGCATGATTGTGAACATCAGCCAGTCAGCCTCTGCCTATGATGAGACGCTTAATGTGCTCAAATTCTCAGCGGTTGCCCAAAAGGTATGTGCAATACAGAAATTAAAGCCTTTTAATGTCCTTATATTTAAAAATGAATGTAATGTGCAAACCCAAAATAGCATTTTTCTCTAGTGAGAATGAGATAGTAATAGTGTAAATAGCCCACGTCATCAAAAATGCAAGGACACTTTGCTTGTCTATTTTATAAATGGTTTTATTTCCTTGGTCTGTGTTAAATGTTTACTGTAGCCTGCTACTCTTTTATGTATCACTGCTGATTTTATACTTGCAGTTGATAAATGGACATCTGTTACTGCTGTTAGTAGTAATTATCTTTTGAAGAGTTAAAAAAAATGGAAAAACCATGCTTTCCTGCTTCCTGTTAAATGATTGAAGGCTATACTGAAAAGCTTTGATTAGGTGAGGATATGGGAGGGAACACTAAATAAGCTTCTGTGCTAATTATTTCTGGATTGCATTTGTGCAGTGAAATGAACAAAAAAAGTGCCCACAAAATGCATTATGAGATCCGGGTTGCAGTTAATACAACGGATATCATCTATACTTTGCAATCCAATGCTTTTTTATTTATAGTTCTGCAAGCGGCATTTTTGCTGTGGTTTGACAAATGTGTCTGCAATTAGTGGTTAATATAATGCCCTTTTACATAGAGCATTAATAAATGCACCAAAAAAATAAAAACCTGATTTATTTAATGCTTAAAGCATTCATAAAGCCAAAACTTTGTTTTCAATAAAATAGGAAAGACCTTTTAAAAAATCTATACCGGACAGAGGATGCACGGCACGGACACAGGTGGCAATGAAAACCTGACAGTGGTTTTACCCTTTCTCTACTGTGCCTAACATGGTGTATGTGATCTTCCTGTGTGGCACATTTTATCAATAGCAATGATGGGTTGGTAGAATTTGTGTGGTACTGAAAGATTTTATAAAAGAACACTGTCCAACAGGCAATGGAAAAGTAAGCAACATCCAAAATGTCCTCCTACAGATTTTGTGGATAATAGCGGCTTTAAAGCTCCATGCACATAAAACATATTTTAATATATATCGGTAGCCTCCAAGGATATAAATCCACTTTGGGTGCACCAAATTCCTTTGAAAAAACAGTTATTACTTGCACACATAGTGGTGGTATCATTGTCCTGTGCAGAGCTGTAGGAGATACCCAGTAGATCCCACCTACTACAGGCTGCCTGCAACAAAACTACAGGAGAGGGCAGGTACCAGACAGAGGGAGCTGCAGTGACTGGTATTTATTACAGGTAGCTCCTGTACAGAGGCAAAGATTCTCGCTGGAATACTTTGCAGATATGGGAAAAAATACACAAAGAACATAATTTTCCAATAAGACTACACGTGTCTCTTAGACAATATTTGCTTGTTCTGGAGTTGAGCGTAAAAGGAAACTGGTACTGAGCAATATGGACGTTGTCCACATACTGATTACTGACCTAGAGCAAAGCATGCTATTATTATTCTTTGCATACCATATTTTCTCTAGTCACCTTCCATGACAGCATTAGAGATAGGCTCCTCCCACCGGAACAGGAAACACATCACCCACACTTAAACTAAAAAGGAGCACAAGCCTAGCACGCTTCAGTTATTTTGTGTTTCCTCCGGCCGAGCAGGACATTGTAACGTTTGTTATTTTTCCTAGGCCTACGTGCTAGTGAGCAGGGGCTTCCCCCCGACGTGGGTGCAGCAGAGGGTCAGTGGACCTAGGGTATCCATGAGGGGGGGCCCCAACTGTCCAAAAAACAATTGCCAGTAGTTTACTTGCATAAGGGTATGCAGGGCAACTAGGCCTTTTTGGTGTGGTGGACTCAGGGGAGTTTCCCCAGTGCGAAGCCCTCTGCTTCTAAATGGCTGTGTGTGGTGTCTGCTCCTACCTGTACAAAGCAACTCTGAAGCAGGCATTTCCCTCCGGTTCGGCAGTCTGTTGGTTCGGCGGCCCTCGTGGAGATTCGGCAGGGGACGAATATTCCGACGGACGGGTCATTAGGCAGGAGTGGCGCTTTTTCGCGCACTTCCGGTCGGGCCCGCAGAGCGTCTGACGTCACTTCTGGGCGCGAGGGTCATAGTACCCGGCGCTTCTAGGCTGCAGCAACCGCTCGGTCCACGCTACAGATGCCCAACACAGCTGAAGCAGTGGTTCGCAAAACCCTTGCGGTTCCCACACACGCAAGGGGGGGCACCAATGGCAGGGCACAGGAGCTGGAGTCGGAGGGGCCAGGGGGCCCAGCTGGAGATTCAACTACCACAATGGCATCACTTGATCTGGGGGATCCTGGTGCCGGCAGCTCTAAGGTAAGCGAGGGGGAGTTCCCCATTCTTTTTACCGGTTATTTCTCAGTGTTTGGGGGCATGAGAAAGGGGGTTGACACACGTTGGAAGATTGCTGTTTTTTAACACAGCTTTGTCGTTTTTGTTTTGCAGAAAACAACTGCATCAAATCCATCTGACTTCTTTCATATATCTAACCCAACCGTCTACACGGTAACTGATGATAGTTTCCATAAGGCGTTCTTGGTCGCTGTGTAGGTGTGAGGCTCAGTATTATCATCTGACTTCATGCTTTGTATAGTTGTGTAACTATACTTTCTACAGGATAACGGTTTTCTGCTTTGGGAACTCTTTACCAGTTATGATGTGGTTATGCAGCTCAGCCTTGGTATTATCATCCAAGCTATACTTGGTGCATGGTTATAGCCACATGTTAGTCACTGCCGTGTGGATATGATTACGGAGTCCTACAGGCTTTCCTAGAAACTCCGTTGAACTAATTGTATCATGTTCTTTAAAATTATTGCATCTAAAACAGCTTTGCTAGTAGCCATGGTTTAGCGAAATGTACACTTTGCCGATTTTGGGTCCCTATAGCACAGGGAAAAATTGGCTTAAAACCAATGCAATGCAATATGTCAGGGAACGCATGGTATGGCAGTTCCCTCCTTTTGTACCAGTACATCAGTTATGGGAGAAGCAGCCTTACTAGGCGCGGACGTTCGCTTGGCCTCTTTATGGGCTAAGCGTGCAGGGGCTACACCAGAGCAGGGCTAACTGGTCCAGGCTTTTGTCGTTGTCAAGTACTGTAGAGTTGACTTAACGGTCAACCAAGATCAGGTTTTCGGGTGAAAGCCCTGTACACTGTGGTCCCCCCCCCCTGATTGTGAGTATGGTGCTCGCTTATCCTCTCTAATGCTGTCCTGGAAGGTGACTAGAGAAAATTGGAGTTACTTACCTGGTAACTCTGTTTCTAGGAACCTTCCAGGACAGCAGGGATTCCTGCCCGATATGGTGGAGTTATTTACTATGCGTTGTTAGGCAATGTAAGGTTATATATTATTATGGGTGTATATGTATCTATAATTCTACCGGTATGAACGAGTGCAATATGGTATCCTTCGGGTCTTATGTTTAACTGAAGCGTGCTAGGCTTGTGCTCCTTTTTTATTTTAAGTGTGGGTGATGTGTTTCCTGTTCCGGTGGGAGGAGCCTATCTCTAATGCTGTCCTGGAAGGTTCCTAGAAACAGAGTTACCAGGTACGTAACTCCAATTTTTCTTTTCCTCCCCTATTCTTTTCAAAGTGGCCATTTTCACTATGGGCAATTGACTCATCTCAACTTGCAGGAACGCTGGGTCTGCCTCCTGCGACAGTGCCAGCATCTAGGGGGTAAAAAAATGTATCTTCTCCAAGATCCTTCCCTGGATGCATCTGTGAGGCCAGAGCTATATCACCAGTGCCTCACAGATGCATCCTGGGAAGGCTACATCACCTGCGCCTTCCTGTAAACTACAATAATCTTGTGAGAAAGAGGAAGTAACAATAAGTAAAAGCAAAAATGTTTTACTTGCAGCTACGAAATCCTATTGCGCTGATTTGGTTAAAGGTCTTTTAATCTGCCAGGTTTTTCATATACTGTTAATTTTGGTTGATGGTGTGGTGTGTAGTAAATCCAGCAAAAGGTCTGCTTCTTATGCTGAGACTTCTACATTAAGATGCAATATTTGCTTTAAAACGAGACGTTTACCATACTCTGTGCTATTAAGTGTAATCATACTTCACGTAATCGAAGAACACAATGTTGGGTTGAGATATAGAATTTAATCTCCTTGTTTACCAGTTATCCATTAAGAATATGGCTTTTTTTGGGGGGGCAGGTGCTTGTGCTGGAATCCAGCCAATCCACAGAAAACAGCCAGGCAAAGAGTGCAAGAGAAGTTTCTTTCATAATCAATAATGCTGACAACAAGATGTGGCTTTCAAGAAGGCGAGCAACGGTACAGTGGGATTCCCACTTGGAGAATGTTCTAGAAGATGAAAATGATGAGTTTGAGGAAAATTGCGAGGATGAAGAATGTCTTGACTGCACCAATCTAGAGGAACAAGATGATGATGAGGAGGAGGAGGAGGAAATTCTCATTAAGAAAGAGACTTATGAGGTAGATTTATCCATTACTGTTCTGTCTATTTTCCCAGTCTTTGGGCCAGTCGGTGTACCACTGTTTGTACCTCTTGAGTATAAGATTGACAGTTGACATCTTGCCACTGTTCAGGTGAGAGAGATGTGGTAGGTTACACATACTACCTACTCACAATAACCCAACTACTTGCTGATGCTGCAATTTCATGCTTTGCTGTATCTCCATATTTCCCCCATCTGTGCTATTTATTTCCAAGTTGTGTGCCACTACTCTGGTCAAACAGGTGTCTATACTCTGTAATGGCCACCTTGGCTTATTAAAGAAGTCTGATTTCAAGCAGAGGTGCCTGCTCCAAGGTACCTTTTTTTTATATTCACACTCTGAAACCACCTTAAAGTGACTCTTTTGCTAAAATATATTGCTTTAAAAACTGACTTTTGCAAAGAAGGCATTTAATACTTGTCTCTCTTGCTGCCTGTGATGCTTATCACTCCCGTATTTCAGAAAACCTGATGCTAGAAGAACCTTCTGAAGCCAGCATTTCCATGAGTGCCAGATTTACACTCCCCTGTTGTGCAATGTGGTTTCTCCCTCTGGCCGTTGCAGTACTACTGTATCCTGTAGTGACATAGGGGCTGGAAGGAGGGACCACAGCTTGCTATAGGGGGGACCAGGAATCTGGAAAACGTAGAAGTAATTTGATTTGGAACGTTCTGTAAGGGCCTGTTCACGTGAGTTTCCGGTGCGGATCTGCAGACGCGGTGCTATGTGTTTTTTGCTGCGTTTTTGATGGGTTCCAGTAAAAAAAGCTTGCTAGAGTGGGGCCATCAGTATGTTAGCTGCAGTGCGTTTTTGATGCGTTTTGCATTTCCTGACCATACAAAATGTGACATGCAGTATTTTTCTGTCGTAACATGAGCGGACTGCGCACGTGAGAACTGTAGCCCATAAAACACATAGGGATACATTGGGATGCATTTTTAGTGCAGGAGTGTAGGCATCAGATCAGCACAGAAAACGGATGTCTTGTGAACAGTCACTAAGGGACGATTTTGTTGCAGTATTGGAGTTGAACATTTTACACTTCCTTGCAGGGCCCGATTTTATTTTTTTGGTTTTTTTTATGTGCGAGTTTGTACTTTTCATTGTTGTGTGTCTCACAATTTGGGAAACATTGTTCTATGTACGAATAAAAAGCATGGATTTCTGTTAATTATCATGAGTAACGCTTTCTTCAATACAAAATTTGTTACAATAATATTAACTGCATGTTTCTAAACCATTTATTCCAGAAACTATTGGAACTTGTCAATGATCTAAAAACTCAACTTGTCAATGAAAAAAGGGATAAACTTGTAATGGAATTTAAGATCCGGGACGATGTAACTAAAGAATTTACACAGCACTACGTTCAGCGTGAACATGACTTCAGGTAAATGCTTTATTCCATGTGAAAGTGTTCTAGATCTCTCAGTATGATTCATTTTGAATAGTTTTTAAAATTTGCCTGATTTTTTTTTCTTAGGTTTTTTGTACCTGTAAAATTTTGCTGTAATAAATTTTTATTTACCATATTCAATATACAACTTTTACAAGTGTGTTCTCTATTGTTTTTCTAGTACATAATAATTCAGATTGAAATTTGCCACATATACATGAAATGTATATACCGTATTTTTCGCTCCATAAGACACACTTTTTTTTTTCCCCCCCAAAAGGAGGTGGAAAAAGTGCCTGCGTCTTATGGAGCGAATCCCGACGCCCGAGACATGCAGTTTCGGGCGCCGGGCGAGTAGTAGGAGCCACTGCTCGTTTAATACGAGTGATCTAATGAGATCACTCGTATTAAAACCGAGGAGCAGCGACGATCGAGATAACCATAGAGCAGACGAAGAATAGACGTTCTTCGCCTGCTCTGTGTCATCACTGAGACCGTGGCGCTGTAATCACAGCGCCACCTGTCTCAGCGGTCACTAACTGCAGCTTCTGTCATAGAAGCTGTCACAGAAGCTACAGTCTCGAGTGCTCCATAAGGCGCGCCGGACCTCCCTGCGTCCTATGGTCCGGTGCGTCTTATGGACCGCAAAATAGGGTACATGTAATGTTTATAGTGCGACCTTTTGTAATGAAGTACTCTGATTTGTAACCAGAAATGCTATTGGCATTCCATTGTTCTTGCATTACATTGTTTTGTGCTTTTATTTTCTACAGGGAATGCTTACAAAAGGAAAAAGAACTTATGGAAGAAAGATGTGATGAAAGGATGGAGATTTTGCAGGACTTGGTGAGAAAATGTTCTAATGAAGAGGAAGATGAGGAGAACGACGTCAAAGAAACGGACACCGTAACAGATACAACTGTCCAGGTATTGTGATTGGTGAGCTGTTAAAGGAACTCCACTAAGCAAGGTGTTTAAAGGAGAACTATGGGGTTAAGGCTTTTCCACATAGTTCTCCTTAGGGCAGGGGCGCCCACTATTCGTCTGGAGATCTACTTTTCAAATGACGAGCTCATTGAGATCTACCAACGAAAAAACACCGGCATTCAGAGGCGGCAGGGGGGCGTGGCGGTGCATTGAAGTCAATGGCACCGCAGGCAGGCCCCTCGCCCACAGTGCGATCGCCTGCATTAGTGCCTGTGTTCCAGTCCGATCCGCAAAAATTCTGCGAGCACTATTTTTGCAGATCGCACTGGACCGGAATGCAGGCTAATGTGCCTGCGTTCCGAGTGCGGGCAATCGCAATGTGGGCGATGCCATTGACTTCAATACAGCTCCACACCCCCTCCCGCACCTGAACGCAGGGAGTCGGCCGACTTACATTCCACTGCGCCCTACAGGTCCCGGCGCCCTGTCCTCCCGTAGTGCTCGTGTGGCCGACGTTGCACATGGGGTGTCCTGCACCTTTCCATCTGCAGTGTCTGACACATTCAGCCGGCAGCCGCACGAGCACCACGGGAGCATAGCCGTAGCCAGCTCCTTTTGCGCCTGAGGCAAGAAAAAAAATGTTTTTTTAATTTTATTTTTTACTTTTTTTTTTTTACTCTTGGGGGGGCTTCGGGGAAATAATAGGAGTTTAAAAAGCCCCTTGATATTTCTCTTTTTAAAATAGAAAAAGAAATTGAGGACACCAAGTCCTCAATCTCTTTTTCTGCAGCACCTCCGCCCTACCCCGCCGCCGGTTCCTTCACTTCTTCTTCTTCTCCGATCCCCGCTGGGGAGAGCAGCGGGGATCCGGAGAAGCGGCGGGAGAAGAGGACAGTGCGATCTACCAGTGATCGCTACACGATCACTGGTAGATCGCGCTCGACCTTGTGGGCACACAAACTAGCGTCCTCCCATCACCCTAGGCTCAGTATACGGTGAGCTGTAGCTCGCGGTATACTGAGACGCCGCAGCTGAAGCGGATCCTGACAATTATGCTGGAATCTGCCCAGCTGTGTGACAGCTGGCTATGAGCGAAAAGCACTCACCTCAGTTCTCCTTTTTAATCAATTTTCTTTCAGCACCTAGAACCCAGTGCTGCTTATTTTTAACAGTTTTTTGTTATTTTTGAGGCCCAAACCCAACCTGGTGAGCATTAGGATTGGCCCATCCTGTGCCTATCAATGAGGAGTTTAGGATGGTGTCTGGGGGGATTGGACATGGTAGCTCATAGGCCAGTGGTTACTGGGGCAATACAGCCTAGACATGGCTTTGGAAATCATGGGCACTGCATCCTCTGAACTAAATGGGAGAAGGGATCCTTTAGCTTATCTCTCTGATGGTATGGGGGTGAATTGGTTTGTATGGAGTAGGCAGGTTGCACATCTGGAAAGGAAACCTCAATGCTTAAAGATATATTTCCAGGTTTTAAAACTGCATATGCTCCCATCCAGACAATGTCTTTTTCAGGGAAGGCCTTGCATATTTCAGCAGGAAAGGGCTAAACTGCATACTGCAGCTAAGACAACAGCATGGCTTGGTAGTAGAAGAGTCCAGGTGCTTAACTGGTCTGCCTGCAGTCCAGACCTTTCACCAACTGAAAATATTTGGTGCCTGAAATTAAAAATACGACGAAGATGATCCAGGACTGTTGAACAGTTAGAATCCTATATCAGTCAAGAATGGGAAAACATTCCTCTTCCCCAAACTCCGGCAACTGGTCTGTCTCCCTCCGTTCCCAGATGTTTACAGAGTGTTGTTGTTAGAGGCGATGCTACACCGTATTTAACATGACCCTATCACAACTTTTTTGATATGTGTTGCTGCCATCAATTTTAAAACCTTTATTTTTTCATAAAATGTTTTATTCAGTTTAAACATTTGATATATGTTTTTCTATTTTGAATAAAATATGGCTGAGACTTGCAAATCACTGCATTCTGCTTTTTGTAGATTTTAGTGTCCTAACTTTTTTGAAATTGGAGTTGTAAACGCTAGTGAACAAAATCTCCTTGAAGAGCTTAATGCCTGCAAGATCAGGCCAGATGTGGCTTTTGTTAGGTTTTGAAGTTTGAAACTGTCACCTGTAGGCCAGGGTAGCCAACATACTGTAGTTCTTTGCTGCAATGGTCCACAACATGTTTACTTCTATGCCACTCATTATCAAACAGGGAACCCCTTTCCCCTACCTTGCAAAAGTGAGAGTTATTGGTGGATCCTCCTCTCAGAGACTTCTCCCTTTCTCCTATTGACTTCAGCCCCTTCTCCACTTCAGGTCTAATTCCAGAAAGGTCTAATGTGCCTGCCTTTTATGAATTGGGTAGTCCCTGGTGTGATCACATTCTGTCAAGTGGCTGGGAAAAGTGCTGTGGGGGGTTCCTCTTATTCAAGAATGCCAGGGGTGCTTTCTGGTCTTTCACATAGTCTATTGATTCTTCCTCCATCCACTGAATGTCTGTCTGTAGTGAGGTTATTCAGGACTAAAAAATATAATATATAGATGCACTAAAATATCGGCCGAAAATTGCACTTTTGGCAATATCCAGAATTGCCATCTTTCTGGCCCGAATAGCGGTGCATCCCTGCTTTCTTTCCTCCCCGCTGGGCGCTGCTCTGTGTCCCAGCGGGGAGGAGAGAACCTGTCACAGGAGGCAGAGCGCTGCTGTGACAGATTAGGAGAGTGGGGGCGGAGTCAGCTGTTACAGGAGGCCTGGGCCAACGTTGCGGGGGATGTCAGCTGTCAGACGAGATCAAGCTCTCCTCCCCGCACTGTTTACTGTGCTGAGAACAGAGTATGTTTACTGTGTCACTAATTATGAATGAATGGGAGTGATCTACAAGCATATTATCTCCACAAGTTATGAAAGAACAGGAACACTCGGTATAGAGGCTACCTGTTCATTTATAACAGGGGCTGCAGAAAAAGAGATTGAGGACTGTGTCCTAAGGTCTGTGTTAGACCTCTAATATTTCCCCGAAGCCCCAACAGTAGAGTTATAAAATATATTTAAAAATATATTTAAAATTTTTTTTGTGTGTGTCTCTCTCTCTCTCTCCCTCTCTCCGATCATATCTTAGCCATTCCTACACACTTATTTTTGCTGAGGCTTAAATTCACTACTGGTAGGTTTTCATTATAGAATTACTTAGGAGCAGTACTAGTACTGAAACTGTACTAACCATTTCAGCTTCACATAAAATGAAATGCCTTCCACACAACTAGTACCTTGGCAACATCCTACGCTGTTTAGGAGACAGTTAAAACAGGGGAGAGGTCGTATGGAAATATATTAAATATGTAATTATCTTTTGGTGAGCAATAGTTAAAATGCCAACTATAATTGGTTGTAAAAGTGAAACCATTTATACTCTCTTACAAGCCCCGTCTCGTATATCCTGTAGGTGGGTGAAAACATGCAGATGAACTGAGTGGAGAAAGAAAGACCTTTTTAATGTTAAAGCATGTTTTTGTTAACGAGCCTGTGGGAGACAAATATTATTTTCTCCATACCAGGTTGATGAACCCAGCTTGCCACTTCAAGGACTCTTCTCTTCTATGCAGAATGACCTAGTAGCAATCAAGAAGCAAGCAGTAGAGGCTCATCATCATATTGCAGCTATTCATGATGATCCAGAGACCGTTACTCAACTGGAAAACAAATTACAGCAAGTGACATCTGAACTTGCTAAAACGCAAGAGGAGCTAAAAAGGAAATCTGTTGGTAAGTTAAGGCGGAGTTCATAAGCTGGCTATACACAGTCTTATCATTGTACAAGGAAAGATGGAATTGTTAGAGCAGGGGTCTCAAAGTACCAGCCCGTGGGCCAATTGCATCCCACGAACCAGTACTATGTGGCCTGCAGCCAGCTGACAAGTCGGGTACACTGTCACATGCTGCGTTCCTGACTGCATGAGCCACACGGTCTGCATCGGTCGGAGCTCTGACCTCAGGCCGAAAAGACGGATTCGTAAGGTCTGCACCAGACCTTACTAATCACCAGGGAATGATGTGCCTCCTCCTTGCAAAAACGTAATCCGGTAAGGGGGCTATTTTTCTATTTTTTGTGTGTGGACAGGGAACGGGGAGAGCAAAATATTCTTGTGTGGGGGGGGGGATCTCAGGAGGAAGATGGTGACTCTGGAAAGTGACTGAACATAGGTGGTGCAGTCCTTATGGAGAGAAAAGCAGATGATAACAGTAAATTGTTTGGGGGGGGGGGGGGGGGGGGGAGGAGGAGAAAAGGGGGAGCATATTTTTTTTTTTATGGGTGTGCAACAGTGGGAGCATGTTGTTTTGTCCTAACCAAATGTAATCATATCACATACCATTACATGCGGTGTGCAGGAGTTTACATGTGGCTGTCACTTGATCATTACCTTGAATGGGCAACAGCTGCCCGCATGTAAACGCCACGAGAAAGGCTTCCTGCTGCAGGAAAATGCAAGCTCCTGATGCAGGAATCCCTAATCACACCTTTTAACACGCAGGTGTGAGTGGGGCATTATTGTGTGTAAATTTAGTGTTTGTAATTCTGGTTGTGGGGGTCTGTGCATATTTCTCTGTGTGTGTATGTCTATGTGTGCATATCTGTGTGAAGTATGAAATTTGGCAAAGGGCCCCATGGGAGAATTTATTTTTATTTTTAAGAATTGGAAGATTATATTGAGAAGTCCAGAAGTCGGGACCTTCAACTGGAAGAAGCGGACAAAGTAAGCCTTTTAAATGCTTGTTTCTAGTGTTTCCCAGTTTCTTTGCTGAAAGGTTTTATATTTAAAATATTTTTTTATTTTGTAAAGAAACTCTCATCACAAAGGCAGCAGGTTGATAAACTAATGGACATGATTCAAGAAAAGGATACGGCCACTGAAAAGCTTAAAGACCTTCTTGCTCACTGGGAGGCAAAATGTGAAGATTACGTAAGTAAATCTTTTAATGTTTTTAACCTCACAATTTACTAGTTTGTGATTTTGCACAAATATGTACTCAGATGTTCCTTGAAATCTAAGTGGTTATCTGTAGTATTCAACAATGCAACACAAATGGGTCCAAGTTACAATTTAACTAAATGTTAATTTTTTCCCTTGTTTAAATGACGACCTAACCTACTACTGCATATGTTGTATTCATGATTGTAATGAGGTTCTAATGGACAGTCTTTGTGCCTCTCCATTACAATATGAATTGTGTGTGCGTACGCTATATGGTTTAAGGCAGGGGTGCCCATTAGGTAGATCGTGATCTTCTAGTAGCTCTCAAAGCTGATGCTGGTAGATCACGAAGAGTGTGAATGGTGGCCCCTATATTCCATTTTGGTATATTTATTTAGCTGTGCACTCATGATTCCCTATTAGCCTGAGTCTGCTGAGCCAAGCTCCATGACACCTTTCTGGTGGATATTGGTGGTTGAAGTGCTATGTATTGCATCAAAGAATATTAGTTTACACAGCCTGATGCACTACACTGTTTACAAAATACAGCAAGGAGAGACAGCCAAGAGAAAACGAGGAATAACAGCCAGGAGAGAGAGTGAGGAAAGACAGCTAGGAGTTAGGAGAGACAGCCAGGAGGATGAACAAGGAGAGCCAGGAAAGAGCGAGCAAGGTTTTTTTTCGTTGGTAGATCTCATGTAGTTCATCATTTTGAAAAGTAGATCTCAACACAAAAATTGTGGGCACCCCTGGTTTAAGGGATAAGCTAACGGCAGCCCTTTAGCAATCAAAACAAAAAAAAGGGGTCATACACGTTTTTTTTTGGGAAGAAATGTTCTTATGAATAGCACCATGGCATTTTAAGTTCAAGAAAGTAAAACACATGCAAATACTCCACCCACAATTATTACACCATAGCGTAGGTATTAGGCAAGCTATATATGTACACAGCCTATTTCTATTTGTATAAAACATCAGCTTAAGTATTCACCAGCATATTTGAGCTATACCAGTGGTGCATGTATTTGATAAATTATATACTAAATTTTACGCTGTGTATAGGTAAGGAAGCCTTTTATGTGCTGATCACAAGTTCACTGCTGTTGGCACATGAGACGTCTCTAGGCTAGGTTACCGTTTACCACACTTTACCATGTGGTGCGATTGTAACCTGTCCTTTTGATAGCAAAATCTGTGTTTTTTAAAATGCTGGATATTTGCCTTGGCTCTCCATACTTGTTAGTCTTTGGACCCATGTCTGGTTAGTTCTTGTTGGCAGTGTAAAGGTGGCCATACACTTTACAACCATCGCAAGACCTTAGTCTTGCGATGGTTGTAAAGGGATTAAAAAATGTACGATCTGCCCATCTTGGACGGGCAGATTGCACTCTCGATCATCGCAAGCCACACCCCCTGAGGGGCGGGCTTGCAATGACTAATGAGGGGCGGGCTTACGCTGACTGCAAACGGGCAGTGTGTGCGCGCGCGCACACCGGCCCGTTCGGCAGTTGTCGAACCAGCAGGCCACCAACTCGCCGAGAATCGTACTATTCCCGGCGGGTTTTCAAACATGCTGGTTCGATGGAAGACGTGCGACCGTACAGTAGAAACGGTCGCATGCCTTCCATACACTGCACGATTCTCGTACGATCGCGGGATTTCCTGCGATTCTCGTACGAGAATCGTGCAGTGTATGGGCACCTTTTACAGAGGCACAGGGAACAAAGGGGAGCCTACAATATACCCTACATTGCCTCCTTGGAAATAGTGGCGTTGCATAGGGTACATAGGCAATCAGGGTTAAACAGCTTGATAATAAGCTACCTAATCAGTCTGTGAGGCATATATATGCCATGAAAGGGTCAAACTAAAATTAATATCTATTAATATATTTTCGATACGTTCTATCCCACTCCTAATAATCAAATCAGTCTAGATGTTTGTAAACTTATTGAAAATACCATAGGATTTACTGACACTCAATTTCCCTCGGGGCCTATTCACACCAATTGCAGTGTGTTCCAGAGTAGCAGCTGCTGGAACGCACAGCGATCGAACGTGTGGCAAAACCTACTTGCGTTCTGCTCCACTGCAAACGCAGCAAAATGCTGCTTGCACTATTTTTTTTGTATTGGACTGGAACGCAGGCAATGTCTTGACATGTCCGATCGCACTGCGGGCAGGGTGTGTGGCTGTGGTGCCATTGACTTCAAAGTGCCGCCATGCCCCCTCCCGCCCCTGAACACGGGGCTGGCTTGCATTCCAGAGAGTTCCAAAGGCTAAACTCTTTGGATCGCAGACTTTGTGGTGTGAACCGGCCCTCAACCCTGTGAAGATGCACTTCCATGTGTCAACACTCTGAGCCTGCCATCTGAACTTCAATTCACCGTTTGAACAATGTAACATTATCATTGCTTGCTGGAAGCAATGCATGATGGGAAATGTAATCTTGAGAAATGGAAATTGCAGCAGTGAAAGAGGCAAAGCACACTGGGAATCCAGGAAGTTGTTGAAAGTGATGGGCAGACAGAAGGCAGCACTCGCTATATGAGACTGATTTTAATTTTTTTTTCCAAGTAAGCTTTGATTGCATTATGAAAACCAACCCTAGTATGTATTCTAAATACTATGGTATAACCTGATTTTATTTATTATGATGATGATATTCAGGATTTATATAGCGCCAACAGTTTGCTATGACTTCGGTTTGCCTGGGCTCGGTCATATACCCTTTTTAAATCTGATGGCATTCTCATCGTCGGCACATTAAATAAAAAGTTGTTAGTTTGGAATAACATAACCGTTATTATGACCTGTATTTTCTAATAAGCACTTTGTAATGCAGGAGAAAACTGTAAACGATATTAGAGGAGAAATGGCCAAATTCAGCCACAGCGAAGATGGCAGCTCTACAAGTCGGAAGAGGCCACCCGAGGATCACCACCATCCACAGGATCAGCCTCCAACAAAGAAAGGTATCTGTTCAGATGGGCAAAGTGCCAGAAACCCGTTTTCCTATGTCTCAATGCAAAGGCAGAATGCTGCAAATCGCAGGCTTTATCGTCTGAAAAGAAGAAAGTCTGGCTTTTCCAGTGAAACAAAATGGAAATGATCTAAACTGTACTGTCAGGTTGCTGGACTTTCAGTTGATGCGTATGTCTATTAATTTAAAATAAAACTCTTAATTGTTTGTACGTGCAGCTTCTCCTCAATTCTTCTGTGCTTAACTAACTGCATGCTCCCTCATACCAACATAACCGATTGTCTCTTCATGCCGTAAAAACAACTAACACTTGGATCGCCATTTCTGGCCTCTTGCTATTCATTCTTTGCAGCAATATTTAGTCTTGCAATGCACTTCTCAAAATTAACAGTGTGTATTTGATTTTGGGATCTTCTGGTCAAACTTCCCAATTAAAGACCAATCCAGTCAAAGCTTTCTTTTTGGGTAGAGTTGAATCCCATTTGTGTCCCTTTTTAAGGAGACTGCTTCTTTTGTCCCATTGATATCTGTCACTGACCCAAGAAGTTAGGGAAAACCTATCCTCAGACAATACCCGCAATTTTATATTTTTGTACTTGAAAAGGATTAAGAGCCATTGAAGCCTCTTGCTAAGTCCTGTCAGCAAAATTGCCGCTTCCTTCACCAGTGACATGATGTCCTTGGAACAGGAAGTGTGGGGCAATCTCTCTCATGAGTACTCTTCTTCTTCTTCTTCTTCTTCTTCTTCTTCTTCTTCTTCTTCTTCTTCTTCTTCTTCTTCTTCTTCTTCTTCTTCTTCTTCTTCTTCTTCTTCTTCTTCTTCTTCTTCTTCTTCTTCTTCTTCTTCTTCTTCTTCTTCTTCTTCTTCTTCTTCTTCTTCTTCTTCTTCTTCTTACTCAGCCATAATTTGTTTCTATTTTTAGGTGGTTTAGAAGGGTTTGAACAATTGCAGTCTGTCTCTCCTTTGAACTATTTCTTACTTTTTGACCTGGGGACCATTCTGGCTGCAAGAGGAAGTGAGGGGCTTTACAAAATGTTTATAGCTTACACTTGAACCGAAGGTTTAGCTTTACACTTGAAATGAAGATATGTTCCAATAAGGACATTGTGTTCATTGAGGTAGGGTTCTCTTCAGTTTGGTGAGATTTCCACTTCCAGTTATGTCTGACAGTTATGTGCGAAAATTAACCCCCCCTCCCCATCACTATTGTCTACCACCCTCTAACCCATCCTTTGGTGAATATAACTTACTTCACATGGTAAGAAAATATCAGAACCCCAAAGTTCTCCCTCCATACCCTTCATCTGCACCGTTTCCAGGTGCAGGAGACTGCTAATACAGCACTGCAGATGGTCCCTCACCTGCCAGTCCCCTACTGTCTTCTTGAAATTACGCCACTCCTCTTCTAGATTCTGAGAGGACCCTGCCACTTGACAGCCAATAGAAAGTGTCAATGTCGTGGGCAGTGACATGGACACCCAAAGGATTCTGCAGGAAGTCAACAAAGAGTAAAAACACAGGACCTGAGTGAGTTTGGGCTGGAATTACACTGAACTGTTTTCTCCACTTATAAAAAAAAAAGGTTGTCAAGCAACCTCAATTTTCAACTTAGGAAAAAAAAATTAACCACTTAATTTGTCTTAATTTAGTCCTACTGGAAGTTTATATAGAGTGCATACTGTTAAAGTACTGGATCTACCTGTAGTCCTGCCCACTGTTGTCTTTAACAATAGGCAGACCTAGATGGGACACGCCTCCCCAACCAGGTGAAAAGTTCTGTCCTCTGTGATCCATGTCTAGCATGACCAGTTTATAGTTAGTTTCACTGATTCTTTACTAGGATAGGGAACCATTGAGACTTGTCTGCCATGAGATGTTGCAATAAGTTAGAATATGGATGGCTCCAATAAGTTAGAAATATGGGTGGCTCTGTCGGAACGGTGCAACAGCCTAAAAAAATGCAAGCCTATTTAAACTGCTTGCGTTTTTTAAATATTTATAGCCAGACTAACCACCTCCCTACTGCCTTGTTGAAAAAAAAAAAAAAAAGGCAGGGAGGTGGACGTCAATTTTTGGAAGGACGTCTTTAGACGTGATTCAACAATTGGCTGCTGGGCAGCTCAGTACACACTGTACAGGACCAATCCATGCAGCTCGGTACTATGCAATCACTGTGATGACTAATCAGTGATTTACATGTTTCTGTTTAGATGGACAATCTCTCTCCTTCCTCTAACTACAGAGGAAGGAGAAAAGTTGTAGTTAATTGTGAATTGGAGAATCAATGAATGACAACAGCTGGTGACCCATTTATTGATTAAACTACTTTCTCTGCCCCTCATTTCCGCCTACTGATCTCCACTGCCTCTTTATTATGACCTGTATATTAACCCTTTATCTCCCTTTTCCTGCAGATCTGCATATTAACCCCTTCCTTTCTATCCTGTCTAGAGCTGCAGCTAACTATTATTTTCAAAATCGATTAGTTAGCCGATTATTAAGTTCGATTAATCGGATAAACAATGAAATACATTTTAAAAAATGGCTCTAGTGATGGACTACTAGTTTGTATTGAGATTGTAGTCCATCACAGGGGCAAGCTTGGAGCGGTGGAAGAAAAAAAAAATAGTGTGGTGTGCAATATAGTGAAAAGGATAGTGTAAATTTATACAGCAATGAATGCAGAATGGCACCGACTATAGAGGACTACAAATCCCAGCAATAGTACATTATACAGTGGTGCAATGCCGAATACCACCAGCTATAGAGGACTACAAAACCTAGCAATAGTACATTATACAGTGCAATGCAGAATACCACCAGCTATAGAGGACTACAACAAATCCCAGCAATAGTACATTATAGCTGGCGGTATTCTGCATTGCGCTGTTTAATGTACTATTGCTGGGTTTTGTAGTCCTCTATAGCTGGTGGTATTCTGCATTGCACTGTATAATGTACTATTGCTAGGTTTTGTAGTCCTCTATAGCTGGTGGTATTCGGCATTGCACCACTGTATAATGTATTATTGCTGGAATTTGTTGTACTCCTATAGCTGGAGGTATTTCGCATTGCACTGTATAATGTATTATTGCTGGGATTTGTAGTCCTCTATACAGCACAGTGCAGAATATCACCAGCTATATAGGAATACAACAAATACCAGCAATACATTATACATAC